TTCTAAATGTAACCAAAATTTACCTCTACTCCACATTAAATTGATGCTAGATCAGCATTAACCCACTTAGAAATCAGAGACCAGCTCCTCCACCCATGAAAATTGATGTAGAACCATTAACTATCAGTGGCTCTAAGCTTTTGCACTTATTCAGAATATGGCCCCAGGCATCTGTATTTTGTGGCCCCTAGGGTTTCATTGACAACTAGTATGGATGCAGAATTAAGCTCAGAAAAAGGGAGGCCTGATTTGAAAGATGGACCTTTTAATTTCTGTAATCTTAAAGTGGTGAACTGCAAAAAAGTTGTCTATGCTTAAAAAGATTATGCTTACCCAATTTAAAGATTTCTGTACTACTCACAGTACATCTTTCCTCTTTCTTGTAATTATAACAAAGGAAAAACTCCTTACTATTAGCTGTTTTGACTCCAGGGAGCAGGACACAAGGGAACAGTCGTTCACCCCTTTGCTTCTTACTCATCAGTTCTTTTACCCTTAAGGAATATTATTCAGTCCTCTTTCTACCCCCCTCTATGGTTTTGGGGAGATTTTGGTCCTTGTTAGAGGTGCTGGATTGACAGCTCTAGACATTCACTTTTTCTCACACTTGGGGAAAGTGGCTGTGAAACCTTTTCCATACTGCTGTCAATACTTCTGAATTCTTACCAGGAAGAATCAACTCAAGTATAGTTATGTAGAGTGTAGTTGTCACTATGCTGGTTTGGTCCTTGACATTTGCTGAGACTGCCATTAATTGTACTAGGTGTGCTAGTAAATTTTCTTGTGGTTTGAATTTTTTTGATTGGATACTTGTTGGCTGGGAAAACAAACACTACCACAAAGTCATCTCACTGCAGAGCTATCTGGTGGTATTCATGTTGAGCTACTCTTAGTCACAGCTGACTGCTGGCATCCAACTGAAATGCTGAGGTAGCCTCTTTCATCCTTATGTGCTGAGGGACGTGAGTTTTACTCTGCTTGTTCTTGGATTTGCCAAGCACTGCTGTGAGACTGCATTGGCTATGATGCACACTAGCCAGTAAAATTCTTGCTCTTGGCTTCATTTAGGCTTGGAGAAGTATAGTTGAACAATTGGCACTCTGGATTTGAAGTGCATCACATCCTTAGGGAATCTCTGCATAGCGTGTGGAGATGCTTAAATCTCTTAACGGTGGATTGTATCCATTTATTGGAACTGCTTCTGCTAGGTGAAAGAGTTGGCACCTTTCCTAAAATGGGCTTGATATTTCCAGTTGCAATGGATCTGTAATGTTTCTTTGTAAGCCAGACATTGCTTCTAAGCCCATTGGGCTCTTCCCCGATGCAAGAGTCTATTTGCCCAAATCCAGTTGCAGGATGAGGGCTCTAGCCTGCGAGAAAGATTTGGGTCCTGAAGTTTGGGTATCAAGACATTGTATTGTGCTGCAGCATTTGGATGGAGTGGTCTTACATAATGGACACAGCATGGTTTCACAGAGGTTCAGGATCATCATAACATAATGTGAATGACTCAGCATCTGAGAAATCAGTTTGTTTGACAGAAACTTAGTAGGAACACTATACCCTGGTAATTTGGACAATTGGATCTAATTGCCAGTAGCAGATGAAAGCTAAGTGAGCAGATACAGAAGAGACCTCAAAGGTGATTGTGGGAAGCATGAGCGCTCCAAGGCTGGGAACAGAATTAGCCAAGAAAGCAGCTATGCAATACGACAATGTGTTCGTTGGTACTCCCTGTATTATCACAACTACAACTAACTTCTGAAAATGAACCTAGTGCTTTGTGTTGAGACATAATAGACCATGTTCACAGCTGGCTTAAATCAGCATAGCTGTATTAGCTTTCACAGAGCTATTCTGATGTACTCAACTCAGAATATGGATTGTAATATCTTCCATACTTAATAGATACTCAGGTGAACTTGTACCTGTGTCAGAGCTCAGATAATTCAATGGAAAGGCTCCTGTTCCCTCTAGTGGGATTTGGAACAGGTCCTGATACTGTGAACACTTACACAAGTGCTTAAATTTACTACTGTTTTTAAGTCACCAGGATTGTTCATATGGATAAAATTAAGAATATGCAGTGTTTGCAGGATTTGGGCCACAAATCTCTCTCTCTCTTTAGCAGATGGCCACTAATTTTTATTAGGTATGTCTGTTTCCCAAGTTCATGCCTGGCCCTGTATCATTTATGAATGATGAGCAGTAGGCATTAAAACAATTGACCCAAATTAATGTAAACCTAGAATTTTAAAGGTACCATAGCATGTGTTTGACTCGGAGCATACTGTCTTGGGTAATATTAGAGCCCAATGTATCAATTCAAACTCTCCCTTTCATGCCAGTAGAGAATATCAAATTTTATTTTGATATAAGGAACAGTGTGGGACTGGGCAACTTGACCTTCAGTTTTCTGCCTACAATCAACTTGTGTCCCCATTGTACATAAGAGATCTGCTTTGTGGTGCTCTTTACCTTTTAAATGCATTTATATCTTTGCACGCAACTTAGGCCAGCTTACATGCACAGCGTATAAAAAATAAAAAGCCTTTTCCTGTGGGGATGACTCTGACTTAAATGTGCACTGGCAACATCCTTAATTATGTAATGAAAGATCCAAATGAACAGTGCTTTTCAATTATTTGCTGTAGAAATGACTTGTGTATACTTTTGTCTTGAGTAGTAACAGTAAATGTTGCAGTGTACTTAGGATATCTTTAGAGCTTAGGAACCTTTCAACCACATTCAAAATATTCACATTGATGAGATCTATTTTACTAATCTTGTTTTACATCAGTACAGTTTTCTAACAGCGTAGAGTTCAAATGGTCAGGCTAACATAAATGAGACCTGAATGTTAGCTTTGGAAAGTATTTGAGAAGATGCACTGGTGTCCAGTAATTTTCTAGGCAGATGTCAAGATGTTGCTTTAACCTCTAAACTGCTAAATAATTTTAACCTCTGGATAGAATAGACTAGGATCATTTAGGTAGATGCCCCCTCTCTTCATATGATACTGCTGCAGGTATGACCATTAG